AATGAGCTAAGAGCTTCTTGCTTCGTCAACGTGGATTTTGGCTCCCTCGGCGGAACTTGATGTACATCTTCAAAACCTGAGCACAATAAACGTTTTCTGAAAAGTACGAACCCGGTATGTGCGCAATCGGCCCTTTCAACGTGAGACCAAAGAAGAGGGCATGTTTAGACAGCATGTGCGTCCGTATGTTGCAATATGAGCTTCGTTTAATCGCGCACAGTTACGGAGACGCGGAAATGTTCCCAAAAAGAGCCTGGGGCTACCCACCAACTCCTCATCAAATTGTATTACAGAGTGACACGAATGAACAGGTGCTCCGAAGTTCCCATATGAACATGTTAAGTTAAAGATTCTAGTCTGCGGAGAAAAGACGATATGGGACGAAACATGGAGATCATTTAAGGCTACGCATCAAGGCGAGTTGACGCTATACTCATATACAATGCGAGAAATCCTGGAAGATCGAAGAGTGTTTGAAGTTGGGGCGAAGTGATACTTGCGTACATGAATTTATGAGAGGCTTACATGCAAAGGTTCTGGACGTGTCGGCCGGGAAAACACACGATCGGCGGCTGTGAGAGGGGGAGTGACAGAAGGGACACCAAAGGCCTACCTTTCTCAACAAGGTTGCCAATAACGCTTTCATCTACATCACACGTCCGTCGCTGCACGGCGGGGAAAGGCGTGTTTTCTGAACCCTAGGGCATTTCAATAGAGACAATTTAAAATAGGCCAAATAGTGAGCATCTAACTGCTTAAACCTTCAGTCAGCCACGTTCGCCAAAAACAGACAGTAAAGACTCTTTATAAAAGGAAATGTAAAGAAAGGAAAATATGCCAGTATTATTAGCAAGAAAAGTGGAAACTTACGGATGTGTCATCTTCAGAGCTGTCCAAAAACTGGGATAAAAATAGATACAGCCTCCGAGTCCACCGACGCCAACGTCTCTGAGGGAAACCATCAGAGAATGCCGAAGATAACTTTGGGGGCAAGTACTTCTCCTCAAAGTTTGGGAACATTAGTCTGTAAGCCCTCCAGTACAAACCGCCTGACAGTCTGTACAATCCATTCCCATCATCGACAATACGTCCGGAACGATGAACGGAAGAAATTGCATTCGAATACATAAGCTGTTTGTGTCCATTCGCAAAGCTGGCTACACAACACTCTCCACTCTCCTTCATATTGATAAGCGCCCATTTGGTAATAACTTTGGCGCGCCGAATGTCCTGATCGTTCAAATGAATGGGAGAAAGAGAAGAAGTCGATGGCGGAGGTGAGCTAATGGACAACTCTCCATTCTGATGGGAGAAGGAGCTGACATTTTTACTGGTTCCAACAAAAGGACGGCGCAATTGGCCATAGTTTGGCATAGGCCCGCCGGAACGCGAAATGTAGAGGTTTCTTGGACTTTTTACAGGAGAAACGGTGCAAATAGACCGGTCAAATTCTGAAGGAGGTGAGAATCGCCGAGCTGGTGTTTGGAACAATTCGCTCTCATGATCCGTCTGGCAGGCTGCATCTTTACGGCAAGACTCGGCAGCGGAACACGGGATGTAACGACTTGCAAATGTTGGATAAGCGCTACTGAGAGTGTCAGGTGCCGCAGCTGGGGGAGCGGATGGATAAATCGGCCAACCATAATGCCACGAAGATACTAGAAATAGTTATTTTATAAAGATCATACCCTGAGGTGCGCTGTAGTACGGTTCATTTTGGTTATAAGGATACCTGAAGGGCTGTCAAACACGAACTGGCAAACGTACATCAGTATGCACCTAACAACACGCGTATGGCAAAAAAGTGTGCCGCAGACTGCAGTAAAAATCACCAAACATCTGATTTTCCCAAGTCTTGCGAACAAAGTTAAAATGACCTAATGACCCAACTGGGACATAAAACAAAAATAAGCGCCTGATGTTTCCAAATTCTACTTTGCTTTATCCGTTCAAATTTCAGTCTAGTAAAACCTCACAATGGCTTTTCACATTGCAAGTTCTTTTTGATTATTTCCAAGTAAATAAGGCCAGTTATAAGTCTAATCTCTCTTGATTTCTTGCGACTTGCTCTAAAGCATTACCTGCCGATTGTTTCCCGCATGATTTACTTTGATTTTTGCAAGTTTTGTGGCTAGAAGCATCTCAGACTGTTTCTTCGGATAAATCTAGATCCCGGAAGGGCTGCTGTCCAAAGAGATATTAAAACCTTTATGCTCAGGATGGAAAGGTTGCTGTAATCTCCTTACTTTGCGACCGATGTTCGCTTTGCGAGTAGTTCCGGGATGGAATTTCTGGCGTCATCATCTCCGGAACACTACGATTACGCTCATTGTAGAAAGGTTTATGTGGTTGAACACTTTTTTGGTCAGGTTGCAAGTTATAGATTCGAAGGAGCAATAACAGTATCCACGGTCTGCGTCATGATAGCGAGTCCATGCCATTCGATTCTCAAAGAATATGGCATCTTTCTCCCGTGCGTGCCCAGTCTGCGTTAAAGGATCCGTGAGGCACTTTCGCTTTTGAAGCATTTAATGAGTTGACTGCTAAACGCCAAGCGAACCGCGTGCGTGTCCTCGTTTAGTCTAACACTGGGCCTTTATCAGTCTCAAGTGTAAAATTCTCATCTACGAATACCCTTGTATCAGCCAAGAAGGACTACTGTCAGAATGCGACGTATCGTATTGAAAGTAATCCGATTTAGCCTCACTTGAAGCCAAGTGATTCTCCAACCCATAGCTTTCTCAGTGGTTTTTGCTGCCCCCAATCCTTATACAGAATAACTGTTCACTAGTGGTCTATGCAAATCAAGCGTATATCAAAACTATAGTCTTTTGATGAACATTAACCATTCGTATGTTACTTCTCCATGTGGGCCGGAAATCGTTACGTCGCGCTCGGGTGCAGAAAAATGACTGAGAATCCTTGCCCAAGGGTTCTGAACACGGCACTTTTCCCTTTGCTGACGAAAGTATTTACTTATGGTTGCTGAGCGCGACTATTGTCCTCACCTACGCATTGACGTACATGTGATAAATCAGTGAGTGATGAATAAGGCTCTGGATACATATTTTCCTAAGAACATTGTTGTTTTGGAGTTCTATGCCCTGATAAGCTATAAATCATGTATAATGAAAGCATTTGTTCTTAGGAAGGCTAATATTGGAGGTACTAGATTCTGCGTCCGCAAAATGTCGTTAGGCCCTAATTAAGGTACCATTCATGGCTATTTTATCTCGTGTGCTCTAATTGGCGGCTTGGAAATGAAGTCTTCAAGCATTCCCTTACCAAGATGTTGTCGACCCCAAATTACCAAAACTTGACATTCCGAGAACCCTATGAGCTTACAGGCTTTGATCTTTTTCGTTTCGCTAACTGCAGAAATGGTTATTTTGCTGATGAAACTAATAAATTATCTTGCGTTCAGCTCGCTGGCCACATCAAAATGTCTTAATCACTTAATAATAATAATAATAATAATAATAATAATAATAATAATAATTTTATTCAATGCCAGTTTACATGTATTGTCAGGGAAGCGTTAAACACCAATCCGGCCAGCAGTGAAAAAAATTCTCTGGAATAGGAATAAAAACATGGTTGATGGTTTCTATGGTTTGCTGTGTTCAGGAGAAAAAAAACTGCTGGCGGCAAACTTTCGACCGTTAAGAAGGGAGGGGTTGCACGGAATCGGATAATATCAGTCGCCAAATTCTTTTACGAAGTTGGATCTAATCCAAACAGAAACGCCGAAGAACATCTGTCGCTGACGGCCAAAGAAATTTTCCCTAGTGAGACTGGCCATATTGGTCAGAGACCAAAAACGGCATCGTTACCATAGAGTCGATCAGAGGTTTCAGCACCCAAAATTTGTGGGAGCTTTTCACAAACTCTCGACCGTCAAGAAGGGAGGGGGGTTGCACAGTATCGGAGATTATCAGACGCCAATTAGTTTCATGAGGTTGGGGATAGTCAAAATAGAGGCGCCGAAGAACAACTGTCGCTGATGGCCAAAGAAATTGTCCCTGGTGAGACCGGCCATAGTGTTCAGCGACCACAAACGCCATCGCTACGGTAAATTCGATCAATGGATTCAGCACCCAAAATTTGTGGGAGCTTTTCTGAATGCAAAATTGAATAATAGTTCTCTTAAATAAAGGATAGTTTTGCAGAGTTTTCCCACTCATGGGTAGTTTATTCGAAATAGCAGTTGCATTTACAGAAAAGGACCGACGATATTTAACAGTACGTGCCAGAGAAAGAAATAAAAGGAACTCACGGTGACTGTTACGTCGGGGGTGGATATGATGTCTTAAAGAGGTAAGTGTTTTGAATGTGTGATTATATAAGAGTTTAAATAGCAAATGGCGCATCGCTGCCGCCAAAGCGAAACGTGAAGCCCGCAAATCATAACTTCGCCCAGTAAGCAACGTCGCCGCACAACCGCTTCCAACGTGTCCTCGATGTCAACGGACACTCCGGGCTCGAATCGGGCTTGTTGGACATCTTCGGATTAACTGCGCCTCTCGAACGGCACCAACCATCGTCCCCCGCCTGCCTCTTCCTCCTCCTCTCCGCCGCCAACTAACACTGACAATTCTTCTGACCCACCACTTCCATCATCCTTTTCCTTCTCCTCCTCCTCCTCCTCCTCCTCCTCCTCCTCCTCCTCCTCATTCTCCTTCTCCTTCTCCTCCTCCTCCTACTCCTCCTTCTCCTCCTCCCCCTCCTCCTCCTCCTCGCCCACTGCTCCAACGGCGGCCGCTCAGGCGACTGTCCCGCGCACAACAACTGACACTACCGCCACCTCCTCCGACTCCAGGGATGAGGATCAGGACTACACGTGCCCTCACTGCGACCGTACCTTAACCTCACACATCAGCCTGGTCGGTCACTTGCGAATCCATCGCACAGAAACTGGCGAACCAGTGCGTGAAGCACCAACCTACATCCACCGCACTCGCCTCCACTGCCCACACTGCCCTCGCACCTTCAGGCATCGCATGGGCCTTTTCGGCCACATGCGCATCCACGAGAGCGGCCTTGACCGCACTCTCGACACACCCACCACATCCAACACATCCACCGCGCACACCCCCACCCTCGCTCCATCCGTCTGCGCCACCATTACCACCAACACCACCACCGCCTCCTCTGTAGCTGACACTGAAACCTCCGACTTCTCATGCCCACACTGTCCACGCACATTCACCTCACGCATCGGCCTGGTCGGTCACTTGCGAATCCATCGCACAGAGACTGGCGAACCAGTGCCTGGAGAACCCACCTATACCTACCAAGCTCGTCTCAACTGCCCACACTGTCCTCGCACTTTCAGGCATCGTATGGGCCTATTCGGCCACATGCGCATCCACGACGACCTGCGGTAGACAACCGCCAGCCACACCACACATTCACTCACCCCCCACCTCCTCCACCTCCCCATCACCCCACCAGAAATCACCACTCACACACCTCATGCACCCAACTGCCACATCTCGACTCGGTCCCCATGCGGCTTCGGCTGCACGGATGACTTGAGTCCGAAACTATCCCGACACGTCAAGCGTCGAGGATAGGAAGGTTGCCGATTGACGCCCGCTCTCGGTTCACGCAGTTCGTCGCGTTGTGTGTGTTGCGTGGATTGGCGGATTGGTGGGCTGGGGACGGGCTGAAACAGCACCTCCCACGGCACTCTCACGCAAGTGAGAGACAAGCCGTTCAACCCCCGTTGTGTAAAATTCTGGTGTTGTGTGTATGGGGGCCAGGTTGTGCCGTGGCGCGCGCAGTCATGGTAATTCGACCATGACAGCCACCGCGCCCATTCCCCACTCCAGTCTACTGACCGGCTCGGACAGCAGCTGGGGTGTGGGAGTGGGAAGGGGGAGTGAGGTCGACGACTCAGCGCACTTTCTCCTCACTATAATCAATCTGACGCGCTTGAAGCTATCACGGTGCGCTAAAAGCCTTGGCTTGGAAGGTTGCCAACTGACGGGGTACCTTGGACCTCCTCCTTGACCGGAGGCGGTCTGAGAGTCAGGCTGCAATGGCTCCTTTTTAATGTGGCCTTTATGGCACTCCCATCACAGTGTGGGATCCGAGTCAGGCGTTGGCGGCACGCCCAGGTGCGGCTTCGGCCGTGCCAGCCTCCAAATCTCTCTTGTGTTGGTTGAAATCCTGGTTATTGTTGTGTGGACCAGGGGGTGTGGTGGAACGCCAAAGTGAGGATCCGTCCGAGCCATCCACCTGCGGCCTCTCTCGTCTCCGGTCTTCTTGACTCTGTCTTGACACCGGGCTCGGGCGAGGGAGGAGGCGAGAGTGTAGGTAGGTGCCGCGCAAGTCTACCGGCACTATAAACCCCTGCGCAAGTCACCAATTGATTGGCGGAACCATAAAGGATCAAGGCCTGTAAACTGGCAACGTTCTTGGTAAGACAATTATCGGTGTTTCGGGGTTAAAACTCTCTTGGAAAAAAGTGTTGAACGGATTCTATTTTCTTCCGCTCAGTAGCATGCATTAGGCTAAATAAAAACAAACAGTATTCCAGGCCAGGTCTAGCGTACATGTTGTAAAGGAGCATTCTAATGTCCCAAGTTTTGAAGTTTCGGACGATAAACCCGGTCGTGCTACGTTCTTTGGAGACTATCAGGGCAGAGTGCTCCGAGAGATTGAGACTCTTGGAGTATGACACGCCCAGATTCTTAATAACCCCAGGCACATTTATGGCGTGACCTTCAATACTTAGTTGAGGTTGGCGGTGTCGCCATGTTTGGCACCACTGTGCGTAGGCCTGTAGGTCGATCTTTAGGAGATCAAGCACTATGTCACGGTCTGCTGACTTATATCGATATGCAACCTTAAGATCGTCGGCATACATGAAAGGCTTACCATTCTGAAATAAATCGGTAACATCATTAACGAAAAGGCAAAATAAAAGCGGGCCGAATGACCCCACTCCTCACATGTGTGGGGCTGGAGATGGCATTGGAACTCTTAAGGCCTTGTATACGGGTGTCCAGGTAAGAGGATATAAAATTCAAAAGTATGTCACCTATTCCTAAAGAGGACAGTTGTAAGAGAAGAAGAGCATGGTCAACAAGATCAAAAGCCTTAGTGAAATCGAAATATACTGTGTACAGTGCGAAACCATTGTCCCTAGATTGAAGAAAATAGTCAAGGAAAGAGTGTTTACAGGTGTCACGAGATCGAGCTTTCAGGAATCCATGCTGAGCAGCATTCAGTAGGTTATTCTCCGTTACGTGACACATCGTCTTATCTTTGATCAATGTCTCTAAGATCATCGAAACTGCAGAGAGGGTGTTTCTTGGCCGAAAGTCCTCAAATGACGTAGATTTGCCGTTCTTAGGAATGGGTAAAATGTGTGATTCCTTCCACATGGTAGGATAGGTTTTACTTTCAAGAGCAAGATTAAATATTTTGCATAAGAGGGATGGGAAAATCGTATTTGCATTGGCTTCTAAAATGCTTACTGGGACACCGTCAGGTCCTGGACTATAAGATTGACGAAAACGCCGAATCGCAACAGTCACATCCCACAGAGTGAAAGTTATATTTTCGAGAACTGCCCCGGTCAATGCTTGGATGGTCGGAAGTGGAGTGGTCGAGTCTTCAATAAACGTTTTGTACAGAGAAGCATTGAAGCTGTCAGCGGTTAACCGGGCATCAACTATGGGATTTCCGAGAGCGTCTCGGAGAGTGGGATGCTGCGTCTTTCTATGAGTTCGTATTTTTCTAGAGAAAAGTTTCGAGACATTTAACGAATGGTTTTCGGTGAATTAGACCCCTTCGGCTAGCTGTTTTTCTTCAGACAATCTCTTAGCCCGCTCAAAAATATCACAAATCAAGGGCAAGACAGAGACGTCGCTCTAAAGATGGGATCGATGAGAAAGTCTGCGCAACCTGCAACGAAAGGGCAAGGGTAGGAAAACCTCATCCCCGACATTAATTATTTTCACACGTTGGATAAAACGAGAAATAAGCGGATCCAAAATTTCGTACAGATTTTCAGTGCAAGCATTTGCATCCGAACTAAGAAAGAACTCAGTCCAGTCGTAGGAATTAAGGTGTGTTAATAATTCGGTTGAGCGAGTTGATCGGAAATCGCGGAAAAAATTACACTTTGGGGACAACGTTTTGTCAGCATCCAGTTCCAACGTTAAAACAATTATGTCATGGTCTGAGCCCCCCAGTGGGCCTAGGGATGACACTGACGATGGCATGCAGCCTCTACAGAAAACCAGGTCATGTATGCTTGAGCTTCGGGTGGGCAAATCGACAACATGATACCACATCCCAACATCCACAGCCTCAAGAAAGTCTTCGAACCTTCTGGGGCCTGAAGGCGGAGACCAGCGGACTTCAGGGAAATTAAAGTCACCTGCAACCAATTGATACTTAAAGCTTAAGTCGGCCGCAGCATGAAATGCCTGTGAGATTAAACGATCAAAATTGTCGTTGGCGCTGGGAGGGCTATAGGCGCAGCCAACGAGTAAGGGGAACTTATTTCTTAGTGCAACTTGGTGTCGGCATCTGCTTTCTACTGCGTAAAAATGCGGGAGGTCAAGCGGCAAAAATGTAAGTGTTTGCTTAACGTAGACGCAACTGCCCCCACCACGGCTCTCTTGACGATCATTATGGATGCAAATATGGCATAGAAGAGAGAGTTCGGAGTCACCTACGGAGGCTGATGTCCACGTCTCAATTACCAAAACAATATTTGGACAATGGAAGAATACCAGAATCTGCAGCAAAGGCATCTCATTAAACAAGGATCGGGCATTTATGACAACATTTTTGAGGGGAAAGCTTGTTTGTTACTGAGGGAGGTGGACTACGTCGTCCAGTTCTGGGCTACCCACGGAGCAAATGGTCCGGATGTAACCATCCGGTTCTGCCAAAAATTTCGTGGCATAAAAAATTCTGACGTGAATAAAACGGGGTAGGAGTTGGGGGAGGGAATGACGGGCAGGTAAACTGGTAACCATTGATAGCTAACTCATTTTCGGTTGGAAATCCGCGGGACAGTTACTGCAACACATTCCCGCCGGAACAAAACTGAGGATCGGATGAGTTAACTGATCCAGTATGGACACTAGAATTAGGAATACATTGGTAAAACGGCCGTGGAGGAAACAAGTTAGGGGGTGGGGGACACATTGTTTCCATTGGAGCAAGAGTTCTATTAAACGGCATGAAAATCGGCATATTCGGCCTAACTGCCTCGATATGAGTGCTGGGGGCAGTTGGGAACAGGCTACGTTTGGAGTCGGGGTGTTTGAGGCACTGTTAGCCGATTAGGGAGGAAAAGATTTGATAATGGTGCTGGATTTATCGGTTGTCTGTGTGGCTGAGACAACAATTGGATTTTCCTTTGACTTAGACACATGTTTAGGCTTACTAGGGGTTGCTGGGGGAGTCGATGGAGGTGTGTTTATACCAGGCGTGATGGTGTGTTTAAGGATCTCAGCATTAAGAGTAGTCGAATTGACTATGTTGTGACGTGCAGAGGTCGCAGATAATGTTGTCATGGACTTATTCAAACTGACAGTAGGTGTCATTATCTTGATGTTGGTTTTTGACGATTTTAATTTATCCAGTCTTCGCTGCAGGGGTGTGAGGTCTGGCCAAACGGAGCAGCGTCATTTACGGCAGAATTCTCTAGTTATTTCCCTCCTCGAAAAGATAAAGTCGACTTCTATCATAAAGAAAAGGTAACTAGTATCGGCGCATTACAACAAAGCGAGCGCAGTCGTTTAGCTTGTGCGACACTGAAACTCAAGCTGAAACTTTGTAGGAACAAATGTGCTCCCTCCATAGCAGATAGGTTGCTCAGAATGTTTCGCTGTACGAAATTAGGCTTGCGTTTAATTCTTTCTGCAGTTCCCGAACTTCTTACCCCAATAAGTTTAAAAGCTTGTTCAATTACTTTTTCAGAAGTGCTGTTTATTTCGCCATGTATCAAATGATCGACTATTTCGTCGGCTGATGGCCTGCTACGCCTAGCAGAAGCGTATTTTGGACGATTTTCAGGGTCAAGAGGTCCTACATGTACTAAAGGGATTTGTGAGTTAATCATATCTGCAGAAGGCGAAGAGCATATGTTGGCACCTGCTATGTCTCCGGTCGCGATTCTAGCACCCAGTGACGGTGGGGACGCCGCAAACTTTCGACTTTTAGCACGTGCTCTGTGGGGCATTACAGACAAGAGAAGTTTTCGTAACAGTTTTTCGTTGCTGACGTACAGAAAAACGCACAGAATAGCAAATAATACTGTTATCTAACTACCAAACCTAGAAAGAGATAGTGGGGAAAGGAGTCACTACAAAGGTATTTTTTTACAAAAACCGACTTTTTTGCCAGACAGTCTATC